TTGGTCCAAGAAATGCGGCTTGTGGTAGGAAGCAGCAACAGCCCAGGGCACGAGCAGAATCCATGGCGCTCAGCACTGACCTCGCTTACGGTGATGATGGAAGAAACCAGAGCTGGTGCCTGTCCTCCTTGATTGAGGCCACGGTCTGGATACACATTCTCCAGGTAATGGAAACCGAAGTTGGAAATAACCGTCCCCATTCCATCAGAAAAGCCAGGACTGTGCACCCTCCATCATATCAGACAACTTCTGCAGAAGGACCCCACAGAGACCAAAGCTTTTTTGTTTCACATCTTCCTCCTACTTAAGTTTACTTTAAAACAAACATTATATACTGACACACACACACACACACACACAAACACATTTTATTTTTAGCCTTCTGGGGCGTGAGTTATTTTAAGGCAGTAGAGACTCAATCCCTAACATTGCTAGCTCTGTGTTCCAAGCCAGGTTCCCACCTTCCAAGTGACGTGACCACGTATTACCTACTCCCCAGGGTTGTGAGGACACAGCTCGTCAGTCGCACATGTAAAGCACTGGCACATGGTAATTACAGCCGTGCACACACATTGGCCATGGGGGTAAGCAAACGGCTTTATACTGAACTACATTTAATATAAAATATCTGCTCTGTTTTTAATAGAAATACTCTTGGTTTTTGAGTGAAATTAGTCTGACAAAAGGTTTGTACTAAACAAGAAGGGGGGACTCGGCTTCTCCTCGGACCCCTCAGCATTCCAGGTCTAGCTGACGAGGGTCTCTCATAGCTGCGGAAACATCCTTTACGTGGCCCTTATACGGAAGGACAACAGAGAGAAGGCAATAGATGATAAGGCAACCATGTTCTCAGTAAAATGTTCTCAGTAAATAGTCTGAATCAAGAAAACAAAGTTTGAACTAGGACATATTTACATTTAAAAATGAATAAAAACTCATCTGAATTAAATATCCTTCCCCAATCATATGTTCCATTATTTCTATGGAAAAATTAGAATCACTAAAACACATACATGCTGGTAGCCAAGATCCTGTGCTGGTCTGTTGCGCTCTCTTATAGAACCAATATATGCCAGACTCTCTCGGCTCACGTAGAGCGTATCTTCTTACACCACAGCACTCCCTCTCCCCTCCATGGGCAGTATGGAGTGGCTGCTCCTTAGACTGCATGTTTGGACCTGCCTGCTTTTTGTTGTTTTTTGCAAAAGCACAGCTTTTAACACCACTCTGAAGAACACAGAGGTAAACAGGTAAGCATTATCTTATGGGCTTTTCAGTCATGGTCTTTTCATAGCTGCTTTATAATCCTTTAAGCATTGGTCTTCACTCTCCGAGGGGTTCGTGGGTGCCGGCACATGCACTGTCCTAAAACTGATCTACCCGAGGGTGAGCCAGCCAGTTCTCCTTTCCCTCTTCCCCCTTGTGCAATCTTGCTTCCTCTTTACAAAAAGAAAACCTTACGTCTCATCCAGCTTACTGTGGTGCACTGCCCTCTGGAATATAAAAACCTCAGGGGCACCAAGGTGATTATCATGCCTAGCTACCGAATCCTTAGCAAGGTAGGTAAGTTTCTAGTTCTCTGTCTTCAACAAACAAAAGGGGGATCTAATCAAGCTGTTGATAGGTCACTGTGATTTTCTATATGCGGCTCAAGAGAACTGCATGGCGTTGTTATAACAGAATTTTTTCTATCCCATCTGCTTACTTATGTATTTACATCTATAAGGTTAAGCCTTGTTTCACCTTAGCTGTAAATAACATGTGCTTTGGGGAGGAGACAGAATGGTGGAATAGAATGACGTGAGCTCACCTCGTCTTACGGAAACAGAATCACAACTAACTGCTGAACAACCGTCAACCAAAAAAAACCGCTGGAACCTACCAGAAAAGATACCCTATATCCAAAAGAAGCAGCCACAATGAGATTGTAGGAGGGGTGCAATCATGATAAAATCAAACTCCGTACATGCCAGGCGGGCAACCCACAAACTGGAAGATAATTATACCACAGAAGTTCTCCCACAGGAGTGAAAGTTCTAAGCCCCATGTCAGGCTCCCCAGCCTGGGGGTCTGGCAACAGGAGGAGGAGCGCCCAGAGAAGCTGGCTTTGGAGGCCAGCGAGGTTCGATTGCAGGAATTCCACAGGACTGGAGCAAACAGAAACTCCACTCTTGGAAGGGCGCACACAGGGTCTCGTGTGCACCACAATCCAGGGAAAAAGCAGAGACCTCGTAACTTACCTGCTAGTGTTGGAGGGTCTCCTGCAGAGGCGGGAGGCGGCTGTGGCTCACTGTGGGGACAAGGACACTGGCGGCAGTAGTTCTGGAGAGTATTCATTGGCATGAGCCCTTTTGGAGGCCACCATTTTCTCACCAAGACCTCGCCCCACCCAACAGCCAGTGCTAGGATGCCTCAGGCCAAACAACCAACAGGGTGGGAACGCAGCCCCACGCATCAACAGGTAGGTTACTTAAAGTCCTGCTGAGAACACAGCTGCCCAATAAACACAACCCCTGACACGGCCTTGCCCACCAGAGGGACAAGACCCAGGTCCACCCACGAGTGGGCAGGCACCAGCCCCCTCCCACCAGGAAGCCTGCACAAGCCTCTTAGACAGCCTCAGCCACCAGGGGGCAGACCACACAAGCAAGAAGAACTACAACTCTGCAGCCTGCAGAATGGAAACCGCAGTCACAAAGGCAAAATGAGATGGCAGAGAAGTATGTCCCAGATGAAGGAACAAGATAAAACCCCAGAAAAAAAACTAAGAGATAGGCAATCCACCTGAAGAATTCAGAGTAATGATAGTAAAGATGACCCAAGATCTCAAGAAAAGAATGGAGGCACAGATCAAGAAGGTACAAGAGATGTTTAACAAAGAGCTAAAAGATTAAAAGAATAGAGATGAACAATACAAAAGAATAGAGATGAACAATACAATAACCGAAATGAAAAATACACTAGAAGGAATCAATAGCAGAATAAATGAGGCAGAAGAACAAATAAGTGAACTGGAAGACAGAATGGTGGAAATCACTGCCATGGAACAAAACAAAGAGAAAAGAATGAAAAGAAATGAGGAAAATCCAGGAGACCTCTAGGACAACATTACACACACCAACATTTGCATTATAAGGATCCCAGAAGGAGCAGAGAGAGAGAACCTGAGAAAATATTTGAAGAGAGAATAGCTGAAAACTTCCCTAGCATGGGAAAGGAAACAGTCACCCAAGTCCAGGAAGCACAGAGTCCCAGGCAGGATAAACCCAAGGAGGAATATGCTGAGACACATAGCAATCAAATTGGCAAAAATTGAAGACAAAGAAAAAGTAGTATTAAAAGCAACAAGGGAAAAGCAACATATAATGTACAAGGGAATCCCCGTAAGGTTATCAGCTGGTTTCTCAGCAGAAACTCTGTAGGCCAGAAGGGAGTGGCATGATATATTTAAAGTGATGAAAGGGAAGAACCTACAACCGAGAATACTCTACCCCACAAGGCTCTCATTCAGATTCGATGGAGAAATCAAAAGCTTTACAGACGAGCAAAAGCTAAGAGAATTCAGCACCACCAAATCAGCTCTGCAACAAATGCTAAAGGAACTCCTCTAGGCAGAAAAGAAAAGGCCAAAACTAGAAACAAGACAATTATGAATGGAAAAGCTCACCAGTAAAGGCAAACATACAGAAAAGGGGGGAAATCAGCTGCACGCAAATATATCAAACCAGCAACTCTAAGAAGACAGCACAAATGCAGGATATTGGAAATGCACTTGAAATAAGAAGACCAGCAACTTGTAGCAGTCAGATTTATCAAAACCTCATGGTAAGGGCAAACCAAAAATCTACAATAGATACACACACAGAAAGGAAAAAGGAATCCAAACAACACTAAAAGTCATGAAATCACAAGAGAAGAGAACAAAAGAGGAAGGAAAGACATAAACAAAATGAAAAGACAGCCCACAGAATGGGAGAAAATCTCTGCAAACGATGTGACTGATAAGGGATTAATCTCCAAACAGCTCATGTGACTCAATATGAAAAAAAACAACCCAATCAAAAAATGGGCAGAAGACCTAAATAGACATTTCTCCAAAGAAGACATACAGACACATGAAAAGATGCTTAACATCACTAATCATTAGAGGAATGCAAATCAAAACTACAATGAGGTATCACCTCACACCGGTCAGAACGGCCAACATCAAAAAGTCTACAAACAATAAATGCTGGAGAGGGTGCGGAGAAAAGGGTGCCCTCTTGCACTGTTGGTGGGAATGTAAATTGGTACAGCCACTATGGAGAACAGTATGGAGATTCCTTAAGAAACTAAAAATAGAGCTACCACATGATCCAGCAATCCCACTCCTGGGCATATATCTGGAGGAAAACATGGTTTGAAAGGATACATGCACCCCAGTATTCACTGCAGTGCTGTTTACAATAGCCAAGACACGGAAGCAACCTAAATGTCCATCGACAGAGGAATGGATAAAGAAGATGTGGTGCATATGTACAATGGAATGAATGAAATAATGCCACTTGCAGAAACATGGGTGGACCTGGAGATTATCATACTAAATGATATAAGTCAGAGAAAGACATATCATGTGATAGCGCTTATATGCAGAATCCAAAAAAAAAATGATACAAATGAACTTATTTACAAAACAGAGACAGACTTAGAGAAGGAACTTATGGTTACTAGGGGGAAAGACGGGGAAAGATTGGGAGTTTGGGATTGACATGTACACACTGCTATATTTAAAATAGATAACCAACAAGGACCTGCTTGTATAGCACAGGGAGCTCTACTCAGTACTCTGTAATAAACTAATGGGAAAAGAATCTGAAAAAACATAGATACATGTATACGTATAACTGAATCACTTTGCTGTACACCTGAAACTAACCTCCAATACGAAAATTTTAAAAAAAACTTGAATAAACAACACAGAAAAACTGCTTTTTGATAAATGAACTCTAGGATAAAGAGCATTCTAATAAAATGTTGATTTTTTAATTATCACAAATTTATAATATTCATCAATTGTATTTCAATAATTTATAACATTTATTCTGTACTGAGTTAACACTTGAAGAACTAAAAGAAAGTTACTTCCACTTACATTTTTTGGTGGCAAGAAGATAGGTCCGATGGAAAGAAAATTTCAAGCATAAAAACATTACATTATGATAGCATTTGCTGAAAGTGGTTTGGAGATAACCATACAAGGATAATCGACATTTTCAATGACAAAAAACTTATTTTTGTAAATGGAGGATGACTGTTAAATTGTTATGTATTTCAATTACACTGAATATGTTGAAGACAGTGATGTAACAGTTTTATTTTAAAATAGCAATATTTACATGACACCAGAAAGTACATACTTTGGCAACTAACTTCCATGAAAAATTTTAGCTGTCAACTTAAAACTGAGGGGATATGTGATTTTTCAAAATACTTTTAGGAAGTACCTCAGCAGGGTAGTGTGTGGACCGCTGCTTTACAAGACTGTGTCCTGTTCAGTTTGGGGGACACCTCTTGTAGTAGAACCACCTGGGGAAGGTGGACACCTTTTTAAAAATGCAGATTCCTGGGCTCCAGCCCCAGACTGAGTTACTAGATTTGGGTTGGGCCCCAAGTGAGTCAGTTTTCAACATGCACCCCAGGTGGTTCTCATGCAAACCAACATTTAAGAAGCACGACTTCGGGGGAAAAAACGTACTTTACAGTATTTCAGCCATGGCTGAAGAGGGAAACACCTCAGGTATGTTTTTGATTAAGGAGAGAACCGAAAGACGCTAAGAATTGGAGCTCGCAAAGTAGCAGCACCCATGGAGGAGCCTGGGGAACGGGACGAGGCCGCAGCGGGCAGGCGCTTCCCTAGACTTCCCAGGGCAGCCACAGAGCCCACCAGGAGAGGACGAGCCACTCAGCCCAGGACCCTGCTTCCCACCGGGGAGCTAACAAGCTCTAGCCCTTCTCCATCCATTGAGGGTGGGGATTTCCTGGAACTAGCCTGAGGAAAAGCAGTATGTAGAAGGGACGGGCTGTCACAGCAGAGTCAAAGCATGCGCTGCTGGGAAGCCGGCTGCAAAGCTGGGAAGCACTAGAGAGGAGGGTGGAGGGTACTTGCCATGAACAGGCCCTTGGGATCCTCTGACAGCGCTGCAGGGACGGGGAGGCCTTGGTCCCCTTTTGGTCCCCGGGTAGCCTGAAGCGCAGTCTCGGGCGCCCCCTTGCAGCCCACTCACTGGGCCGTGCTTTGCAGCAGCTGCTCCCTCTTCCGAGGGTCACAGAAGAACTGTAGTTTCCTGGGGAGCAGTTTCACCTGCACGGGCATCGCCTCGTATTCCTCGCTGTCGATGCTGAAGGAGCCCCCTGTTCCCTGTGGAGAAGAGAATATTCACAGCAGCTCACGCCCACGCTGGCTGGAATTCGTCATCACTAGAGCACCGGAGCAGGTTGCTAGGGAAAAGGTCCTCCTCTCTGAGGCTCTGGTCTAATGTTCTTTGAAAAGAGTATTTCGGTGCCTGTGTCAGGCACGGGGCTGGTTCTGGAAATAGCCCTATTCTACCACCATGAAAAAGGCTTCAGTGGCCTCTATCTCCTCCCAGAGTATGCTGGGATTTGTGAAACAAGGGTATCATTTTCAAATGCTTACTGTAAGACAGGGTCCTGTCACGTCTTTAAGGAAGTCATAGAACATACGTGTATGTCCTCAGCCCTAATCTTTCTCAAATGAAAAGCGAGAAACAGCCAATCTCTGAGGAAAGGCATTACAGCCACTTGATGATTCTCATGGTTCTTTAGGACTCGCTTAGCTTTATACCTAAGGTATAGCAACATTAATATTACAGATTCTATAAAACCCTTCTGTAACTCATGCATTTAATTCAACATTTGCTGTGTTGAAACTATGGTGCCAGCCACTGTGGGGACACCTGCCTTTTTGAACACCTTAGTTTAATAGCCACAAGTCTTCAGAGGCCGCCTGTAGTAAGTTTTTTTCCACTTACAGGTTATTCTACTAGGCTTGGCATTTCCCAGTACAGAAAAATCTACTGCCATCCTGAAAACTGCTTCCAGATCCTTTTTTAAAAATGTGAAGCTAGGACTTCCGTGGTGGCGCAGTGGTTAAGAATCTGCCTGCCAATGCAGGGGACGGGTTCAAGCCCTGGTCTGGGAAGATCCCACATGCCACAGAGCAACTAAGACCGCGTGCCACCGCTACTGAGCCTGCGCTCTAGAACCCACGAGCCACAACTACTGAGCCCACGTGCCACAACTACTGAAGCCCCTGCGCCTAGAGCCCATGCTCCACAACAAGAGAAGCCACTGCACCACAACGAAGAGTAGCCCCCGCTCACAGCAACTAGAGAAAGCCCGCGCACAGCAACAAAGACCCAACGCAGCCAAAAATAAATTAAATAAAAAAAAAAAAAGTGAAGCCATAATCCACTATTAACATTTGCTAACTGGAGAACCTTGCGGGTATAGTAGCTATCTGCATAATTTACATTCAGAAAAATGAAAGCTTGGGAGACCTAAGGATCACTGTACAGAACCTTGGCTTGACAACACCGGAAGTCTTCAGGAGTCAACTCTAAACCCGTGACTCAGAAGGGGCTTCCGTCATCTTTTCAGGTCTCCCTTAATGGAGCCCAGAGCCTGGCACAGTGCTCAGCACGTATAAGGTACCTAAAAAAGGGCCTGTTTATAGGAAGGAGGGGGAAGAAAACAGGAGGGAAGACAGACCGGGAAAGAACCACAAGCTCTGGGACAGCTCACCCCCGCTCACCTCAGGAAGAAGCAAAGTGCAGCGGCTGGCCTGAAGACACTCGGTGCCGTCAGCACGCACCTTGGGGTCTCTCACCTTTTTACTTCTGTTGGTACAGGAAAAAGCAAGCTTGGAAACCAGTGCTGGCAGCTGCGTTCAACTGCAAGAACATAGCAGGTTCTGCCTGTCTTTTGATGATATGAAATAGATGGACTCATAATCTCTTGAACCATGGGGTTCTGTGAATAATTTTTCCCCCAGCGATTCTTGCTGAGTGCTGAGATACGTTCTAGTTTGAGGTTTATTTACTGCAGAGAACTGTGCTTGAAGTTAAGACTGATTTTTCTCTGAATTCTTTTTTATTTTTAAATAGATCCATGTACACCTAATTCCTGGGCTATTTAAAAAACTCAAATTTAAAAATTGGAATGAAATGAAATTCTTTAGAAAAAAGTACTAAACTTTTGATACTTGGTACTTCTTGTGAGTCTATTACTTAGAGGAGAAAATTTTTTATTCTAATTTAAACTGGTTATTTATATGAACAACCAGACTGAGTAGTTCTTGAATGATTCTCCATATTGATATAAACAGTCTACTTAGCATAGCGCATCTTTACTTTGACTACATGGCTTTAGAGTAGAATTATCAGCCTGTCCACACGCGCACGCACACGCACGCAGGCACACACACACACTCCCCCTCGTGTATGTACCGCCAGTTAGGGTCAGTGGAAAAGGGGTAAAAGCTAATCTCAGTCCATTCTTTATCATTAATTAACAAGAGTAATTCTTTCATCTATGAAACTTCATCCATTTTCTAAAGCAGCTTTACAGTGTTCTTGTCAGATACCCAGAGGAAACGGACATTACTTGATTTCACTTCCTGTAGAGACCGAAAGGAAACCATGTTATTTCTGCTGCTGCAGGTGACGACAGCAACAACGCAGAACATAATGACTTCGTCTAATTTAAGCAGTATCACCGGTTTTTCTTCCTATTTTTGGATGTCAGTATTATGAAGGAGATTCAAATATAGCTGGTCCCACTGGCCAGACTTTCAATTAAGACACTGTGTGGCTTGTGGACCCTTCCTAGGAGAAGAAAGACTTTTCCCTTCTTCCTTATACTACAGTTAAGTAAATCAAAGGCTGCAGAAGCAGCTATTCAGCAACTGAAGAATTGGTACCAAAGGCAAGAATAACACACACTGATGAAAGACATTGTACTGCCGGTGCTGGTGCAGAGAATGAAGTAGCCATGGAGACGCGGCTGCTGCAGCAGAAATGTCTAATCCTTAGATGGGCACCAGAGGGAGCTCTGAGACAGAGCTCATAAAAAGCTGAGACGATTCCCAGTTGGCATGGTAACACACAGCCTCCTCGGATGCTTTGAAGGCTGGCCGAGGGTTGAGAGCATCCTTAACCAATAAAATACTGGCAGAGGTAGGGCTTAATAAATCAGACAGGACCTGGAAGGGTATTTTGTAGTGGAAAAGGGAAACAAGCCTGGAAAATGTCCAAGGTACTCAACACCTTTCCATCAATGCCCTGGGAAGAGGGCAAGGTGGGCTGACATGAATGGTAACGGATGCTGTGAAGTGCTTCACACTGAAAAAGAGTTTTCCCACACAGTCCCTTGTATGAGACTCAAAAACAATCCTGATAGAGGTGATTATACCACACCATTCTATACACAGGGAAAAGGATTCAGAGAAGGTAAAGGATTTGTCCAAGTCATAAGGCCAGTGAGTGGCAAAATCAAGATTTGTACCCAGTAGTTCTGACCCTGAAGCCAAAATTCTGGGCATGATACCACACTACACTGAATCCTGTCATTTCAGTCGAAAGACAAAGACGGCTCCCATACTCTGATCTTCCCGAAATGAATGGGGGAGGCCAAAGTAGGAGCGGTACACTACACATGCCAACTCAAATGAACAAAGGATGCTCTGGTTCCCAAACCAGACAAGTCCTCGGTTGGATCTCTGTCTTGGAGTGCATGGGCACTCAGATTGGTAAAGTCTGAGGACACAAAGTACTTAAAGCCTCACAGCCTACAGACCCCAGTCCACTTACCCTATAGTTATGAAGTCTCCTTTGCTGACCGTGTTGGGCTCCATGCAGATGTTCATAAAGTCTTCTTTGCTCTAAAAAGGTTAGGAAAACGAAAATTAATGCTCTAAATTTTGGCTCATGCAGCCTGTTGCCCTCCTTTAGCCTTAGAGGGTCGCGGTTGGAGCTGTGTATTACAGAGGGGACTTTACTTTCAATGACTTTATCCTGAATATATCCTCAGTCCGTTTTCTTTTTACATTAAGACCTTTATTGAAGTGGTATTTACATACCATAAAATTCATCTCTATTGCTTGCTTGTTTTTTTACTACATACATAAGCTAGGTAAACACTCAGGCTTGGAGGGTTGTCAAGTTCTGTCACTCACTAATAATCATAGCTGTTATAGTCTCTAGGATCCCCTCCCTGGCAGGCCAAGCTTTCAGCCCCTCTCTCCCAGCAAGTCTCCACCCTCACTGTACGTCATCATCATGCCGCACTGGCTGGATCAGCTTCTTGATGTGGAGAGCCCCCAAGTATCTGTGTTTTTTTAAAATGCTCTACATGCAAACTTGGTATGTGACCAGAGTTGAAGAGCAGCAATCCTTTTATGCCATGGCAATGTTTTTAAAACTCTACATTCCCAACCACAGAATGTTCTGGAAGAATTGAGCTACAAGGAAGTGGCTATAAAAACAGACTTGGTTCCTGTGCCACTGCCCACAATTTACCACCAGTTGGTGGCTAGCAGTACAAACCTGGCCCTCTGTAAATCAATCCCAACACTTCTGTGTCTGCTTCAAATAGAGGTTTGTTTATTTTTGGACAGCTTCAAAATCTGTAGCCCCAGGATCACCCCCAGGCCTCTGAGAGCTGACAGCCTGTGCCTAAGATTAAAGGGCACTATCAAAGCACAACTTTACATCTCAACTAGGAATTACAAAACATAGAGGGATAACTCTGCTCCAGGGTCACCTTTTGTTAAGTGACTTATTGTCACCTATGTACCATGAACTCTTCTAAGTGCTAGGGTTGTGTCAATGAATGAAAAAAACAATTTCTGCCTACAAAGAACTTACATTCTACCAGAGAGAGTGGAAGGGATAAACAAAACACAGCCATAATAAAATAATAAACTTCATGTATATTAGAAGTATGTTAGAGTATATCTGTATAAAAATAGTAAATTGTGGACTGTGTATGTATATTAGCATGAACGGCAAATTATAGAGTATATTAGAAGTATTACGGTATATTATAAAAATGAGACAAAAGGTGGTATTGGTGGCATTTTCAGTATATGTGCTACCGAAGCAAGCACGATCGGTGGCGTTTTTAAAAAGGGGTCCAGGTAGGCCTCACTGACAAGGTAACCTCTAAGCAGACACCTGAAGGAGGTGAGGGCATTGTGGAAATCCAGGGCAAACTCTAGCAAACGTCACCTGGAGGGCCTGTTAAAACACAGGTCAGAGCTTATGGTTCAGTAGATCTAGAGTGAGCCCCAAGAATCTTCATTTCTAACAAGGTCCCAAGCGATGCTACTGCTGCTGACCCAAGGCCCACACTTTGAGAACCACCGGTCTAGGGAAGCGCAGGCCCCACAAAGGGCACTGCCAGGGCAGGGGCCTTAGGTGGGAGCAGGCCTGACGTGGGAAAGAACAGCGAGGAGGCCAGTATGGCTGGAGCAGAGTGAGAAAAGGGGATGAGAGGAGATGGAATCAGAGGGTTCAGGCACTGCAGCAGTTGGGCCTTGTGCACCCCCACGAGGAAGTTGGCCGTTAGGCTGAGTGAAGTGCGGAGCCACTGGAAGGTTCTAAGCAGAGAAATATGATTTGGCTTTTTTTAAATTAGGGTCTCTCTGGCTACTGTGTTTAAAGGAGAAGAAAAGGGGAAAGGGCGGGGAGACCCCTTAGGAACATATTGTAATAATCGGGCTGAAGGATGATGGTGCCTTGGATCAGCTGGCAGCGGACACTGTGAGACGCGCTGGCAATATTTAGAAGGTGAAGCCGCCAGGACTTCCTCTGAGATTTGATGCTACGAGAAGGAGGAGCCAGATGTTTGGCCTGAACAATGAAAAGGGTGGAATTACAACCGACTGCGCTGCAGGAAGACGGAGGAGAAGGCAGGTTTCGGGGGTGGAAGGGAAGACCAGTAGCTCAGTTTTGGACATGCCAAGACTGAAATGTATCTTAGACATGGAAGGGGATAAGTAGATACACATGCAAGTCAAGGATTTGACTTTTGTTAAGAGTGCAAGTGCGAAAATCAATGTGTTATGCTACAATGACAGGTTCAGCGAGAAAAAGCCTTATCTCAGTAGTGGCTGGAAAGGTACTTGATAAAATTAAAGATCCACTCATGATAAAAACTCTGAGCAAACTAGGATAGGAGTGGAAGGGGACTTCCTTAATCTGATAAAGGGTATCTACAAAAAACCCCATCAAACTCAAGAATGAAGCAGTGAAGCCTTTCTCTCTCAATCAGGAATGAGACAGGGACGCCTGCCATCACTGCTTCTGTTCAACACTGTACTGAGGCCCTAGCCTATGCGATAAGACAAAAGATAAGAAGAAGGTTAAGTATTTGAAAGGAAAAAATCATATCAACTGCACTGTTTGTAGTTGATATGACTGAATCTATAGGAAACCTAAAGGAATCCGTAAACTTAACATAATAATTGTTAGGTTGCTGCTGCGCATCAATATAAAAAATCATTACATGTCCATCAACAAAATCAGATAGTTAAAAAAATAACAACTTAAGAGATCCTGTTTACAACAGCATCAAAAATTACGATAACTAGGAATCTACCCAGCAAGACAAAACCTTATAGAGAAAACTATAAAACTTCATTGAAAGACATTAAAAACCTAAATAAATGAAGATACGCCACATGCATACGATAGAAGAGTCAATATTGTAGAAATGTCATTTCTCCACAAATTGATCTACAGGTTCAATGTAATGCTGAGCAATATTATAACAGATTTTTATGTGGAACTTAATAAACATTCTAAAGGATTTATAGAAGTCGGAGAGCCAAGAACAGCCAAGAGACTCTTTAAGAAGAAAAACATAGGACTTACTATAAAACTATAATAATTAAGAGAAACATAGTATTAGTACAAATATAGAAAAATAGAGCAAAAGAATAGACTAGAAACATCTCCATGTATACAGATACTTGACGTATGACAGAGGTTTACCGCAGATCAGTGGGGTGGGGGGGAAGGACATTTCAATAAATGGTGCTTGGACAACTGGCTTTCTATATAGAAAGAATATAAAACTGGAGCCTTACCTCCATCATTCACAAAACTCAATTATAGGTGGGAGTACCTCTTTTTTAAGTAAATATGAACTCATTTGCTGCAAATCACGTTAACCTGGTTTTTCATTTAACAAGATACAATGAACATCTTCCCATGTCAATAAATAGAGAACATTTTAAATACATGTACCAAAATGTATTTCTCATCAGTGGCCTGATTAGTTTGTTTCACATATTTTGCTATTATAAATACAGTGAACATAGCTCTACAAGAGATCCTAATTTTCAAGCATTCCACACCCCTCAGGCCTCTTTCAGACTCTGAATGGACTTTTTTTTAATGATAAATGAACATTTTGAGCTATTACACGGCAGCTTCACTGTCTTTGAATATTTTATTGCATTTGCTTTTAGTTTTACAAAGAGGATAGAAAAACAAATGAATGTGCTGCTGCTGCTGGTGATAAGCAGCACAGGATCATATATTTTTATAACTGTCACAAAGATAAAAAGCTCTCGGCACTCTGAATGAGGCTAATCTCGAGCCACAATCACATACATACTCACTGAACTCAATCCATTCATTGGCATTCAGTCATCAGCGCGAAGAACAAGGTTAAAGAACATGAACAAAACACTGGAAGTACATATCATCAGAGACTGAGTATAAAGGAAATGTATAATTAGAAATCTTATCTTTCTTTTTAAGATTCCTCTTTTTAACAGAGTATTTTTTTAACCTTAATACATTCACTTTCACCAACATTTTCAGACTCTCTACATCATGTATCATCTGATTATTTCTGAAGGATAAATTTCTAGAAATATGCTTAATAGGGCCACGGGTACGCTTACATTTCAGTTGCTTCATATATACTGCCAAAATGCCTTGGAGAAAAAGTGTTCCGATTTCTCTTTCCCTCAGGAAGACCTGACAGCCCGTTTCCCTGTCCACACCGACAGTGAACACTAGCAGGCTTTTTAATCTATGGCAATTCAATATTTTAATTTGTATTTCTTTGATACTGAGCACTTTTTCTGTTTCTTTACCTATGAAATTCAGAGAGAAGTTACATCTACCTGATAGAGAAGTTATGAGGATGACATGAGCTGACACTGTGTAAAATCCTTAGGACAGTGCTTATCATGTAGTAAATATAAGCGATTTTTTTCATGTTTATTTATTTCCTTTGTGAATTTCTAATTATGCCGCCTGCCTGTTGTTTATATTAGTCCTTTGCCCACTTCTTATTGATTATCCTAACAGTTAAGTATAAAGGAAAGCTATTAACTCCTGGTATATCACATCCTAATATTTTTCCCAATTTGTCATTAAAACAAATTTTTTTAAAGGTTGATAAACTTTAAAGGAAATCTAAAAATGAGTGTCATTAAAATTTTTGTTTATAGTTTCTTTTTTATTAGAAGTAAATGCATCAATATGATTTTTGGTTAGATGCCAGTCTTGGAAAGGCCTTGTCCTCCCAAGTTTATATTGATAATCACTTAAGATTTCACTCTAGTGTTTTTTGTTTTGTTTTTTAATGCGGTACGCGGGCCTCTCACTGTTGTGGCCTCTCCCGTTGCGGAGCACAGGCTCCAGACGCACAGGCTCAGCGGCCATGGCTCACGGGCCCAGCCGTTCCGCGGCATGTGGGATCTTCCTGGACGGGGGCACGAACCCGTGTCCCCTGCATCGGCAGGCGGGCTCTCAACCACTGCGCCACCAGGGAAGCCCTCTAGTGTTTTTAATAGTTTTATTTTCTTACATTTAACCTTTTAATCCAACCAGAATCAATCCAGAAGGTGAAAAGAGCTATGTGATCCAAATGTTATACAATGGACATGCATTACCTTTATAATTAAAAAGCAATCCAATACTCTGAATATTAATATTGGAATCAAACTTCTCACTACACTTGTCCCCCTCATTCATCTTACTACATTCATATGTTCAACTCCATGTGCCAGTTTTCAGACTGACCGGGTTAGTTGTGAACATACTACTTTGATTCACATAAAAGCTGAACATAATATTAGTCCATGGTTAAGGATAGCTTTCCTACTGGCATTCTCATTAACATAAACTACTAAAGTTTTCTCTAGACCAGGGGTCAGTAAACCCTTACTGTGAATGGCCAGACAGTAAATGTTTTAAGCTTTGGGGCCATTCAGTCTCTGTCACAACAACTCAGCTCTGCCACTGCCCCATAAGAGTGGCCACAGACAACACGGACATGGATGAATATGGCTGTGTTCCAATAAAACTTTACTTGTGGATGTTGAAACTTGAATTTCGTATACTTTTACCTATCACAAAATATAATCCTTCTTTTGACTTTTCTAACCATTTAAAAACGTAAAATCAATTCTCAGCTTGCAGTCTATAGTAAAACAGGTGGCAGACCAGTTTGCTAACCTCTGCTTTATTTCAAAAAATTTTTAGCACATTATCTGTATCAGTACTCTCCAGGAGAGCTTTTTGCACTATGGAAATGTTTTATATTTGCGCCTTTCAATATGGTAGCTACTAGCCACGTATGGCTATTGAGCGCTCGTCATGTGGCACAAGTAATGAGTTTTAAATTTTATTTGTATTAATTTAAATTTAAGCAGCTACCTGTGACTAGTGGCTACCATACTGGTCAGTGCATGTCAACAGATTGGACTCAATATGTAAAATAGAGATGTTTGTGTGTATACATATATACACCTATATGAATGTAGATGTATATATGGTTTTCTCTCCTAGAGGCCTAAATCTACATATTTAATATAGTCACAAAAATAATGGATATTTACTCAAGTAAAAGTTCCACAAATTTTTATTCCTGTGACGAATGGGATTAGGCTAACTCCATCTCTAAAGGCCTTTTGCCCTCAGTTCTCTCAGGCAGAAGGCTTGGCGACAGATACTCGATCAGAGCCCCTTAAGCTTTTAGGCACTTCACTCGCTGTTTCTTCTCATTGCTTATTCCTTAAAGGCACCCCACATCCTCCTGTCCTGATCCTTCCCTCTCTATCCCCACAGGGTAAAAATAAAAACACCAAGTTATTGGAAGAGCATGTAGCCTTTGTCACTTTTTCCCAAATGCTTTTCTACTTTAAAAAAAAAAAAAAAAGGCACACTTACTGCCAGGTCAAGCTGACTGTTCCGGGTCGAGATGGACAGTTCAAGGGTGGACAGCTGCACTTCTTTCCAGACCTCTGGGCTCACCTCTTGGGGGGCTGTGTGAATGCATTCGATACAGGTCAGTGTCTCCCATGAACATCTCAGCACCACCACCACAGCCAGCTACCAGTGGCTCAGATGGCCTCCTGAGCCCATCTGCTGACCGCCCCCCCCACCCTGCTTAGTCTTCTTTATTTCATACTTTTGATACACAGGTTAAAGGGCCAGGCTCAAAATGGAATCTCTATGCCTGAGACATCCCTATAAAAGTAGCCACAATAACATAAAGGTTGGTGACAGAAAGAGGGAGTCACTGGGAGTCACAACTGACACAGGCTGTTCCCATTCATGGGACACTGCTGCTGCCGTTTGGGGCCTGCACTGTGCACACAGAGGGCTGAGTTCAGCGATGCTGGAAAGGCTTCCCCTGCTCTAGGAGAGTCAAACACTGAGGTGGGGTCTGCTTCAGGCAGGCCTGAGCTGACCAGGGCTTTCCAATCGTCAGTCCCCACACTGCTCACCGTCCTGCGGCTGTACCCAGTAGGATGCGAGCCTTCGTAATATTCTCCTGTACAAAGAGGGCCGTGGAGGGGTCTCTTCTGCTCCACTGGGAGGTCGCTCTGCAGGTCCCGTGTATGAGAGAGAGGCTTGATGAGTCTGAGGCCACTCCTTTCAATGTAAAGAGACAAAAACCTTTATCGTGCAGCACGATTCCAAACTCTTGGGGTTTCTCTCTACAAAGGATAGTATTCCACCCATATCTGCTTGAAAGCTAACTAGTAATCTCTCATGGGATGAAATTATCTCTAACTTGGAGTGTGGAATCCTCAAGCTTTCTTTTCCTACTGAAGGCCTATAGGAACCCAGTGACTGCGGCCTCCATTGCTCTCCTAACACAGAGCAGAGAGGAGATCAAAGTGGACCAGTAACCAACCATTGCTTACACTTGTCCAAGAAAACCTCAGTATGAACAAGCACAGAGTCATCCATACTTTGACTTAGAGATGGTGACACAAACATGAAATCCAGTTGTATCACATACCTTCTTCGCTTCTGTCATCATATTCCACTCAGAGACCAGACTGGTTCAGTCCAGCCTCGAAATCCAGCCCAAGTCCTCTCATTCCTGCTTCAAAGGCCATCACTCTCAACTCTAGATTTGTCTTCTTCCTGGCACCGAGTCCAGTGCCATCCTGGGTCCCATCAGTGTCCCCAGGGATGATGAAAACAACACCCTAGCCTCTCAGCCCTTGACGTCACCTCTAACCCACCACAGCCACCGATTTCCATGGCCACGTCCCGGTCCTTAGCGGTACCTGGAGCCACTCCATCTTAGAAATCTAAAGCCCTGATATCCTACCATCTAATCACTTCCCATATTCTTTTGTGCCCAGTGGCTCTTAGGGTGAACTGCTCCCTTGTTCTCCAGTTTCCATGGGGTGAATTACAAAAGAGTAACAGTTCCAACTCCTCTCACTCCACCTCTTACTCCTTCCCAAGTCCAGAAAGACCCAACCCCTTCTCTTCTCACTCTGGAAGTGGCCGTCCTGCGGACTCAGGCATCCACTGCTTCCTCACGCAGTGAGCTTACTTAGCAGTCTCTGCCCCGAAGGAGATGTTTTAAGTGGATAACAATCTGGAGTGTTAGGAAATCAGATTGTGACCGCGTATCCAAGCTGTGTCCTTCACTCCTGCTGACATTTATAAAGCTGGCATGTTGATTTCCATATGCTTTGTTCCTGCATTTGGTTGGTCAGAGGAGGAAGAGAGGGTTGGGGGCCCGTGGAGACCCTAACCACACCAAGCTCTCAGTCGCACTGAGAATCCCAGACCCTGACCACGCCATTTGTCCTCAGGCCAACCAGATGAACAGTGGGTTACTTTACAGCACACTCTTTTCCCATTGCTTTTGGCCCTCGTGTCTTCTTTCTTCCATAATGTTTGCCCTGAAAAGCCCCTATTCTTAACCAATCTGTCACTAGGTGTCTGTACTTCTACATCGTGGCTCAATATTATTAGAAGGGGAAATAAAACACTCCTGCTGAGTACAAACACAGGGAAAACAATCACCCAAACGAGCATATCCATGTCAACAAATTCTTGGTCTAAGGTTGTCCATGCCACTTGATAATCCTTCTAAACCTATTTTCATCTTGCTTCAAAACTCCCCGTACTACCATCACCATCACCACAACCACCATCACCACCACCATCACCACCTCACTTTCAAAAGATCACTTGCTTCCTGCACTTCAGTGAGAATATCAAGACATCAGTGAGAACCGCCTTACCTCTTTATAAATATGTTTTCATCTGTACCTCTTCTTTATTTCTCTCCTGTCTCAAGGAAAAAGGCATCCCTCCCCCATCCAAGGCTAGTCCAGGACTCTGGATCCCACTCCCTTCCATGTGCTCATGGAACTAGCTGAGTCAGTCATGCTTTTTGTGTCCTTTCTCTCTTCTCCTCCCATTCTTTTTCACTTCTGCTTCAGGAAATAAAGACACAGATATCTCTCCAATTAAAAAAAACAGAACACTCCAGTGGCCCCATATTTCTCACTAGCTTTTGTCTTTTTATGTCCTTCTTTTCAGAGTCGAGATCCTTGAGGGAGTGGCTCTACTGCCTCTACTTTTTGCTCCCATTTACCCCTGAACTTTCTTCAGTGCGGCTTCAGCTCTTCCACCCACAGGCTACCGAACCTTCAGAGGGCACTCACTTTCCTGCCTCTATTTAGACTCTGCCGTTGCTTCTTGAAATCTCACTCTATTCTTGAAATTCTCTCTTCCATCGGCTTCTATGTCAGTACTTCCTCCTGGAGTCTCTCTTGGCGGTTCCCAGGCACCGTCTCTGCCTCTTTAAATGAAGGCTATTCCTGGCCATCTATTCTCGACAGTAACTTTATCAAATCCATAGCTCAGTGCCACTCATACACTTATGACATTTACATCTATTTCTTTAGCCCAGATCTCTCTGAATTCCAGACCGAAGTCACGACTGTATCGCCACCTGTCTGCACCACCAGTATGTTAAACTCAGTATGTGCCAAACTGAAAATTTCATCTTTCTTCACAAACTTCATTCTACTCTAATATTATCAGCATTAAGGGAAAACTCTAGTTACCAAACTCCAGTCCCTCAAACCAGAAATCTGGGAATACTACACGCTCCTTCCAGCTTTTGAGGGCTGTACCTCTTTAATCCATCCTCTGTGGTCAATATTCACTGTTACCACCTTATCACCTCTCAACTGGATTATGTTAAAAATCTTCTACCTGATGCCTTTGCCTTTAACTACCCAGGTCCAATCTCCTGTCCACACTGTTGCCAAACAATTTTTCTAGAGGGAAAATCTACTCTTGCCACTCCCCTGCTTAAGACTCAATAACCCTCTAGTGGGCTTCCCTGGTGGCGCAGGGGTTGAGAGTCCGCCTGCCGATTCAGGGGACACGGGTTCGTGCCCCGATCCGGGAAGATCCCACATGCCGCGGAGCGGCTGGGCGCGCGAGCCGTGGCCGCTGGGCCCGCGCGTCCGGAGCCTGTGCTCTGCAACGGGAAAGGCCACAACAGTGAGAGAGGCCCGCGTACCGCAAAAAAAAAGAAAAGAAAAAGAAAAAAAATAACCCTCTAGTGCTTTAGTGATAAATGTCAGATCCCACATCAAAACCTGCCATCAGCGGTCCTGACCTGACCCTCAAAGTCCCCTTCCCGCCATGCTACTGCATTGGCCATAATTAAAGACCGTGTTACACCACTGTGACTTCACACATCCTCACTGCTCCACTTGGAATGCCATTTATCTAGTCCTGTATGTATTTCAAAATCTGGCAAAAGTGTCACCTTCCCTGGGCTGACTTTACCAACCTTCAGTCAGGGGTAAATGCCCCTCCTCTCTGCTTCCATCTTATTCTCTCCATATTTCTCTCTTAGCACTTGCCAAACTGCTGATTTACCTGGACCTCACCCCCAGCACTTGAATACTTCTTGAGGGCATGAAGCCTGTCTTATTTGACTTTGCATTCCAAATATATAGCAGGGCTTGCCACACAACAGGTATGCAGTAATTGTTTGCTGAAGAAATGATGGAAACAGTTTACATGCTCCCAGATTCTACAACTTAAATAAGTAGTTACTCTATTTCTTCCTGAATGCAATCCCTACTCCACCAATGTAATTATCCCCTCAAGCAACAACAGTAATGCATTTTACTCACACAATTTGCCTTAGGTATAGAAAGTCCCTGGCGCCCCCCAAGTTCATTTTAATAATCATGTAGATTGGCTACCCCTAGTACTTTAATGGTTTTGTTATCCATCTGGAATTTATTTAGAAGGTAAAGGGAGCTATGTTTTCCAAACATTTTGCAATGGACATATATTACTTTTGTAATTCAAAAAACACTCGATACTCTGAATGTTAACATTAAAACCAAACTTTTCACACATTCAAACTTCATCTGCCAATTTTCAGATTGGTCGAATTGTAAATATACTACCTTGATTTGCGTAAAAGCTGAACACAGTATATAGTACACAGATTAAGTATGACTTTTCTATTAGCATTTTCTTTAATATACATTGTTGAGCTTTTCTCTACGCCAGTATTTTTCATTGTATAGTCTACAGCAGCATGGCCTGATAGAACTTTCTCTGATGATGGCAACTGTCTCTATACCTGTGCTGTCCAATACAGCAACCACTACCCACATCTGGCTAGTTTGAAAAAGCACAGTTTGAAGCACAAGCCTGTATGATTAGATACACAACTTCAGTTCATTTCCAGATGCTAATATATAGACACACTTGCAAATAGTTAACGAGATACAGGTCATTGTGTTCAAGGTTTGTCTGGTAAGAGTGAGTGCATGAATAGACAAAGGGAAGTAAAATACTAAAACGAAATGAAATCTGGGCTTGGTAATGGAGAGGGTAAGTTGGTAGATGAGAGGAATCACAACAGGAATGCTTTCTGCATTTGTATATAAGTAAATATGCCCCATTTCAGTGCTGGAGCACACTATATACATCTGTAGCAAGAAATTGTTAAGGGTTCCAGATACACACATCACAGAGGAACAACAAAATACCAGAAGTCAAGCTTCTACACTGTAAACTGTATTTACCTTAAGAGTGCTGAAAAAGTGGGCTACTTTGGTCTTTAGAGGCCCAAGATACCAGTACCTGAGAAAGACCAAGATAAAAATGTAATTAGAATGTTAAAAGAACTGTCAATGTGCTAGATACCATTCATGACGGATAATGCATTAGAATTACACCTTTACCATGAGTGTCTGCTCTGGAGGCTTGGAGACTGTGGTTTAGTATTAAAAAAAAGTATTGCAGTTAAGTTTTTAATCTGCATTTGAATACCATGTCAAACTGTACATAATTAGTTATACAGCAGCTAGATCCTTGCAATCTACAAGGGATGTATAATCAGAGTCTCCTTGAATCTCTAAATTCACAGGTATCACCGTAATATATACTTTCCACCATGGAATACAGTTGAGTATACATTCCAAATGAGTGGAGAGGGATAAAGCCACAATGAGACGCAGTTGCTGGGTGCTGATGTATTACTCATGAGCTAAATGGCTGCATTCTGTACACCGTGTTCTCTCTCACACACAAACATACAATTAAAATCTGTAAATCAGCATAATTTCGCATTACTTATGTTATGCAGCTTGAAAATGGCAAATGTGAAATCTGGGAATGAAGAGGGTCTGCTTCATATTGCTAAATACCTAAAAGCTACTGAAGAGAAAAAGATGCCTAGTTGGAATTAGAAAAGTGGCATAAAGTAGATTTCTCTCTTAAAACTCATCTCTGTCACCTACCAGCCCATCTTAACAGCTCCCCATTTGTTTTGGATCAATATGTATTTATTTAGCACTTACTATGTATATGGAGGAAACGAAGCAATATAAAGAATATAAAATTCTTGCCTTTGAGGGCTCCTAATTTGAGAAAATAAGGCCCCCCAAAGTAATAGAAAACAACAAATAAATAAACATTTACATGACATGGTATAAACTGATCACGATTCATTGGTAAGGAGAGTCAAGAAGGCACAAGAAATCACTAAGGGCCTAAAATCACTGAAGCAGCCACACTTGCATAATGAATGACACAAGAACAAAGTAAGGGCATGAGACCTAGAAACATGGGTTGGATTTAGATACATAGAAGAGGGAAGGAGATCATTCTAGGCAGAAGGAGTAGTAAAAGTACGGGAAACACTGAGAGTAATAGCCAGGGCAAAAGCTTTATTTAAAGCAAAGATACACAACTCTGTAGTTAGGGGTGCTGACGGATTAAGTTGGGCCTTGAATGCCCAAATAAGGAGTTTAGCTATCCAACGAGCAATGCGGAACCACTCTATTACCCAGGTAAGTACCGTGATGCTATTCATGAGGGCTTGGACCAACTAATTTTTTTGTTTTTGTTCTTTTGTTTCAAAGGTTACTCAATGATTTGCTTCTTTTCCCAGTTAGCCGGACAGAAACACATCCCATCCAAGGCAGTTTATTTATAAACTGCCTGCAGTTCCCTCCATCTGTATCGATAGCAAGTTCTGACACTGCGCTTGCAGTCTTCCCGAGGCCAGCTAGGAATTGGTTTCTCGCATCCCGATTGTTTCTCTCATGACACACAGAGCGACTCAGTGCACGGTCCTAGTCCAGGTATAACAACAACCAGAATTTTAAAATTCACTGCTCAGAAATCAAACAGAATGTGGGCCCGCGTGTGATATTCCTAAAGGGCTGACCTATGCTTGTGCTCAATATAGTTAGAAAGCAATTTGCTCTCATCAGACTTTCTCAGGGGAAACCAAGCAATTCCTCTTGGTAAATTGCTGGCATTTGAGATTACAGATCAGACACAAAGATAACTTGTGGAATCAAGATAACCACGGCATACTTGCAAATAAAAGCTGTGAAATATTAAAGAACACAGTGTGTGATATAACGTAGTGATATCTCTCTTTTGACAGCCCACTGTCAGGAACTTCATTAGCAGGAATAACCAGTGAAACAAATGAGAGACATTTCTGTAGGCACCTCCCTGGCAGTCCAATGGTTAAAAGACTTCACCTTCCAATGCAGGGGGTGCAGGTTCGATCCCTGCTCGGGGAGCTAAGATCCCACAGGCCACACGGCCAAAAAAAACAAAACATAAAACAGGAGCAATATTATAACAAAAATTCAATAAAGTTAAAAATGGTCCACATCAAAAAAAAAAAAAAAACTTAGAAATTTCTGTAAAGAAAATGAGCAGGAATGCCTACAGTGTGAAAGAGGGGTTTCTTGATAAAAGCTGTGTGTGAGATCAATCCTAATTCATTTAAACCATACTAAAATTGTAAGCCCGTTTTCAAGAAGAGGTAAAGAAAAACTAAAACGCCCACCAGCGAGGAGGGAACCTCACGCCGCGTCTGCTCAGCCCCACCACAGGAAGCCCTGCCCAAGCAGCCTCTCCATGCAACAGAACAGGACACACCCTCTTTCCGAGCCAGGAGCCTATTCTACACGATGAATTCTCCAAAAATAAGCCCGTTCGCATGAAAAACCAGCGGCGGCCCTCTAATCACCTCCTCCACAGGCCTGTTTCTTTCATCTCCCAACACAGCCAGGCATCTGCCTTTCTTCCTCCTCTGAAAGAGGTGGCCTGGGCTCTGTGGATCTGCTAGGCTTTCAGAAAAAACACCTCTCGTCGGGGGGTCTTCCAACCAGGGTTGTGAAAGCTCCACGAGGCTGTGGCCCCAGCGGTGCCTCTGACTTCGTACCCAGCTAAGGAGGCCGCGGGAGGAGAGGCCATCCAGTGCCCCTCCGGGCTAGCTCAAATACGACGTCTAGAAAGGGAGATGCACGCTGCTCCTCTTGATCTTCCGCCAAGCTAGCGTGGAGGAAACCGGGACTGTCCGCAGCCTCTCTGCACGTAAGAACTTAAACCTCTACCTCTGTTATTCACACATAATTCAACCGCACTAACTCCTAGATCACTACATATTGAAACCGCAAAGACAGGGACAGAATAAGAAGGTGTCTTAAAATCACCACACGTTAATACAGTGCCCCCCTTTACTTGCTAACTGTGACGCCAGCATCTCGGAAGGATCCCCATCGGAGGCCGGTCAGTGCAAACACTGGCTGTTCCTTTTCACCCTGGAAGTTAAACACATTTAATTTAAATTAATGACGACAGTAACTTGGAACTCTCTACAGGTAAGTAACCAGCAAACGTTCATGGCCTACGTTTCATCAAACCAAAATTCTAAAAGGAATGTTCCAAATTTAAGAAATTAATTCTGTGAGTGCTCAGTCAAAGTACTTAAATAAACTGTCCTGTAAAATGAAGCTAACTTTTATGTATTAGGCCTCATGAATCCGCTGGCAAGAACACACAGTATCATACTTCAGACTGTAATCATTAGGCTGATTCTTGGACCAATTAGTCGGGTCAGCCAGAATTTCTTCTCTCTCTTATACTTGTCCAAGGCTAGGATAATTTAAGCCTGCGTTATCTTTGGAGGGCCAAGAGCTAGCAAGGAAGATCAGCATCCTGGTATGTACTCCAGAATGTTTCACTTGGATATCTGAAAATACAGCCAGATATTTGTCATGACAAATCAGGATGAAAAGTGACCTGGATTTAGTCCAGTGCTTTATGGCCAAATACTGCATATTATAATCAGCAAGCTTCTAATAAATCAGTGAGTTTACTTAGCAATATATAGAAAACACACAATTGAGCCACTGCCTTCAAGAGTTTACACTTCATGATGGGCTTTCCTATATGAAAATATACACACCAGGATTCTGAAAGGGACTTGCCCGGTAGCTCAGAATTGCAGCTAAAGCCCAAGGGTACCCACATTCTAAAGAGAGCTGCCAAATGCCAGACACAACTCCACAGAATTTGCTGAACAGGCACAGAACCAGCTCGGTTTCCACCAGGCCATCATTAGAACCAGTGTAAGCAGAAAATTAGGAACTGGAGGAGAATCCTTGGCACTGTGAGTTGTTGGCCTAGAGAAAGCGTCTAAGTCTTCTTAGGAGAGGCAGTCCTTCCCCGCTCAGTCCCACTTTCACTCCTGTTCCCGCTACCCTGAAACAAGTGAGGGTTTTCTAGGCAAATCACACATGAATAGGGCCAGCCTACCAGTAAAAGACACTGGCCTCTCATTCCTTGGTTGTGTATCTGTTGAAGCAGATTTCCTTTTCTGCTCTCTCCACCTGCTTAAGCAAGAGAAGAAGGAGCTAGAGGGAAATGGCAGAGCAAAGAGGTGATGGTAAGGTAACCCACTACTGGCACAGCAAGGATGTATTAGTCTCCTGGGTGCCTAGTGCATACTGTGGGAGACAGCAGGGCTTGAGCCATCCTGACTATACTAAGCTAATCATTCATTCATTCTTTTTTTTTATGAATCATCATTAACGGATATATATTATATATTAGGAACTAGTGATAAAAAATGTCCTCAAAGAGCTCAAGGTATAATAGGGGGTAGAAAGACACAGACAATAACAACACAATGCAGTAGGTTCAAAGAACAGAGATGTGTATCAAGTATTATGAAAGTACAGAGCAGGTGCAACTGTACAGTGAGTGAGGGAGCCAAGGAGATGGATGGTCAGGGAAAACACAATGTAAGTTTTAAGACAAACCATACATTTTAAAGAATAAGGTAAAATCTGAACAGACTGATTACTAGTAAGGAGACTGAATCAGTAGAAACCTCTCAACAAACAAAAGTCCAGGACCAGACAGTTTTACTGGTAGATTTTACCAAACATTCAAAGGAGAATTAATACCAATCCTTTTCATACTCTTCCAAAAAACAGAAGAGGAAGGAATTCTTCCAAACTGATTTTTTGAGGCCAGCATTACCCTGATACCAAAACCAGACAAGGACAATACAAGAAAACAAAATTAAAGGCCAATATTCCTGATGAACATAGATGCAAAAACCCTCAACAAAATATTAGCAAACCAAACTCAACCATACATTAAAAGGATGAGACACCATAAATCAAGTAAGATTTATTCCACGGATGCAAGGATGGTTCAATATCTTCAAATCAGTCAGTGTGATATGCTACATCAACAAAATGAAGGATGAAAATCATATGATCATTTCACTAGATGCAGAAAAAGTATGTGATAAACTTCAACACTGATTTATTATAAAAACTCTCAACAAAGTGGGTATAGAGGGAACATACCTCAACATAATAAAAGGCCATATATGACAAGACCATAGCTTACTTCCTACTCAACAGTAAAAAGGCTTTCCTCTAAGATCTTGAACAAGAAAGATGCCTACCCTTACCACTTTTATTCAACATAGTATTGGAAGTGTTAGAGCAATTAGGTAAGAAAAAGAAAGGCATCCAGATTGGAAAAGAAGAAGTAAAACTATCATGATTTACAGATGACATGACAGAACTAATGAATTCAGTAAAGTTGCAGGATACAAAATCAATGCACAATAATCTGTGGCATTTCTATACACTAATAACAAACTATCAGAAAGAGAAATAAAGAAAATAATCCCATTTACAATTGCATCAAAAAGAATAAAATATCTAGGAATAAATTTAACCAAGGAGGTGAAATTGAAAACTACAAGACATTAATGAAAGAAATTGAAAATGAGAAGATATTCTATGCTCCTGGATTGGAAAAATTAATGATGTTCAAATGTCCATACTACCAAAAGCAATCTACAGATTCATTGCAATCCCTACCAAAATTCCAAAGACATTTTTCAAAGACATAGAACATATAATCCTAATATTTGTATGGACCCACAGAGAAACCCCAAACAGCCAAAGCAATCCTGAGAAAGAAGAACAAAGCTGGAGGTATCACACGCCCTGATTTCAAACTATATTACAAAGCTATAGTGATTAAAACTGCATGGTATTGTCATAAAAACAGACACATAAATCAACAGAAGAGCCCAGAAATAAATCTACACATATATGGTAAATTAATTTATAACAAAGGAGCCAAGAATATACAATGGGGAAAGGACAGTCTCTTCAATAAATGATGCTAGGAAAACTGGACAGTAACATGCAAAAGAATGAAACTGGACCACTATCTTACACCACATAAAAAGATTAATTCAAAATGGATTAAAGACTTCAATATAAGACCTAAAACAATAAAGCTCCTAGAAGAAAACATAGGGGGTAAGCTTCCTGAAATAAGTCTTGGCAATGATTTTTAAATCTGACACCAAAAGCAAAAGCAGCTAAAGCAAAATTAAATAAGTGGGGCTACATCATACTAAAAACCTTCTGTTCAGCAAAGGAAACCATCAACAAAATAAAAAGGCAACCTACTGAATAGGAGAAAATGTTTGCAAATCATATATCTGATAAGGGGTTAATATCCAAAATATATAAAGAACTCATGTAACTCAATAGAAAAAACAAAAAAAAAGCAATCCACTTGAAAAATGGGCAAAGTATAGAAACAGACATACTGATGCCCAGCATCATTAATCATCAGAGAAAGGCAAATGAAAACCACAATGAGATACCACCTCACACCTATTAGAATGGCTATCATCTAAAAGACAAGAAAAAGCAAGCATTGTTGAGAATGTGGAGAAAAGGGAAACTTTGTGCATGCTGGTGGGAATGCAAATTGGTGCAGCCACTATGGAAAACAGGATGGAAGTTCCTCAAAGAATTAAAAATAGAGCTACCATGTGATACAGCAATTCCACTTCTAGGTATTTATCCAAAGAAAACACAAACGTTAACTCAAAATATATATGCAACAGACACCGCAGAAATACAAAGTATCGTAAGAGACTACTACAAGCAACTCTATGCCAATAAAATGGACAACCTGGAAGAAATAGACAAATTCTTAGAAAGGTACAACCTTCCAAGACTTAACCAGGAAGAAATAGAAAATATGAACAGACCATTCACAAGCACTGAAATTGAAACTGTGATTAAAAATCTTCCAACAAACAAAAGTCCAGGACCAGATGGCTTCACAGGTGAATTCTGTCAAACATTTAGAGAAGAGCTAACACCCATCCTTCTCAAACTCTTCTAAAAAACTGCAGAGGAAGGAACACTCCCAAACTCATTCTATGAGGCCACCATCACCCTGATACCAAAACTAGACAAACATACTACAAAACAAGAAAATTACAGACCAATATCACTGATGAATATAGATACAAAAATCCTCAACAAACTACTAGAAAACAGAATCCAACAACACATTAAAAGGATCATACACCATGATCAAGTGGGATTTATCCCAGGGATGCAAGGATTCTTCAATATACGCAAATCAAGCAATGTGATACACCTTATTAACAAACTGAAGAATAAAAACCATATGATCATCTCAATAGATGGAGAAAAAGCTTTTGACAAAATTCAACACCCATTTATGATAAAAACTCTCCAGAAAGTGGGCATAGAGGGAACCTACCTCAACATAATAAAGGCCATATATAACAAACCCACAGCCAACATCATTCTCAATGGTGAAAAGCTGAAAGCATTCCCTCTAAGATCAGAAACAAGCCACTATTATTCATCATAGTTTTGGAAGTCCTAGCTACGGCAATCAGAGAAGAAAAAGAATACAAATTGGAAAAGAAGTAAAACTTTCACTGTTTGCAGATGACATGATACTATACATACAGAACCCTAAAGATGCCACCAGAAAACTACTAGAGCTAATCAATGAATCTGGTAAAGTTGCAGGATACAAAATTAATGCACAGAAATCTCTTGCATTCCTATACACTAACAACGAAAGATCAGAAAGAGAAATTAAGGAAACAGTCCCATTCACCATTGCAACCAAAAGAATAAAACACCTAGGAATAAACCTGCCTAAGGAGGTAAAAGACCTGTACTCAAAAAACTATAAGACACTGATGAAAGAAATCAAAGATGACACAAACAGATGGAGAGATATACCACGTTCTTGGATTGGAAGAATCAATATTGTGAAAATGACTATACTACCCAAAGCAATCTACAGATTCAGTGCAATCCCTATCAAATTACCAGTGGCATTTTTTACAGAACTAGAATAAAAAATCTTAAAATTTGTATGGAGACACAAAAGACCCCGAATAGCCAAAGCAGTCTTAAGGGAAAAAAACGGAACTGGA